TAAAATTCCTAAAATCATTTGTATTGTGTTCACATATGTACCATCAGGTAGATAAATTTAAATACGAATATAAATATATCCATCAGTTATATCATGAATTCTGTACGATATGAAACTGAAGACTTTACAATCATTCTCGCCGATACACCGCTGAACATGAGCGTCAATACTCACCCAACCCCTCGGAGTTTGTAACAAATGTATTGGTACGTAAGTACGTCAATATGCACATAGATAGGTATATATGAATATACATGTAAAAATAAATATACATTTCACACACGTAGATACACACACAAAAATAGATAATCTTTAAGCTGTACTTATATATAATAATTTAAAGACTATAAATTGTACATTAATAGATAAAGAAAGAAACATTTAAATATATTATAAACACAGCCACGCACATAAAGAAACGGTTAAAATTATTTCTTATGTATGTACACACACACACACACACATATATATATATAATATATCTATATAGATATAACATTCATATATACATATAACACGCACACACACAAACACACACGCACACAAACACACACACACACACACATATATATAACACGCACACGCACACAAACACACACACACACATATATATACATGTTTCTATAGATACAAAATAACCCCACACACACACATATATAAATATATATAAATACGTGCTCTCTCTTTCGCACACACGTGTACATATATATATATACATATATATATATATAAACACACATGTGTACACACACACACACATATATATATATATCTATATGTATATGTATATATATATATCTATATATATATATAAACATACATACATCCATACATAAATCAAGGTAGTCCAAATCATATCTGCAGCAGATGTATCTCTATTCTATCTCCATAGAAGTCAAAGATTGGCTGATTTCCCATTTCCTTTGTCACGCTATCTGCGCTCACTTTTCATCAATGTGCTTCTTCCAAAGCTTGAGGAATTTCACTCATGTCGACCAAGATTGGACGGTGGAAGCGTATGCGCGGTGTATGATTTGTATATGCCTAAACTACCAACTAAAATACACAGCGTGTTCTTTTAATGTATGTATGCATGCAGGCATGCAGGCATGTGACTGTAGTACCACTTCAATAGCGATATGTCATTTAATGTAAACATACTTAGCGGAAGAGGTTTACCACTACAATATACGTCTCACTCGGATCAAAACAAACGCTATTTGCTTACGTGATGAGAAATTTATACTTAACCTACGCGATGAGAAGTATAGGCCTTCACTATGCGAAGGAAAGTGGTATTGTATGGTCAATGGTGTGTTCCATTAACAATTTTTTAAAGATAGCGGAGCCACCCCGGACACTTACGGCATAGTTGGATCATGGCATAGCGGGTCGCCTAAAAAACCCTTATTTTTACATAGTCTACTAATGTTTCTTTTATAAACGGCTATGCTACTAAATAAAACAGACAATGATTTATATGGATGAGCCCTGAAACCTGAGATCTGTACTTTGCTCTCTCTAGAGAGAGTTGAGCCGGGCGTAATCAAAATCACATTTCTTCGGGTTGTTGTATTTATTATTATAAACAAAAACACACGAACCTATTACATAAACAAATAGTCAAATACTCTCTCTAATAAAATTTTACATAGAGGGCTGTGACGTAGCCTTCTTGTTGTATAATTCAGAAGGCAGAAGGCTATATGGATGTGAAGCCTCTGATACAAAATCAATACATATTGCGTATTTTTGACTATACTCTGGAGTCTGGATTCCCTGGATTCCTGTAGTCTTCAGTCTGCTTAGACCTGGTCTCTGGAACATGAATCATTATATTCACAGCAGCTGCTCGTCTTGTACAAAAAAAAGAGATATCGGATCTATCTAAAACAGATGTAGCCATGGTGATTTTGCTGGTTTTATATTATATTGCGCTTGTTATATTTAAAAAAACAAACAAACTCTCGTATCATTATTTTGTATAACAACGATGCTACATTTCTATTTTCGTAAAAAAGGCTATGTAAATATGAAAACTGTATGCTACATTTCTTGACACTATTTCCCACTCCGACTGGACTCTCTTGGAGGGGCTAAATACTGGCCCAGTGCTGGGACTGGGAGACTGGGACTTGGAGTCTGAACTCTGGACTCTGGACTCTGGGGCCCTGGGGCCCTGAGCTTTCTATGTCACTAAATATTATGTATTTTTACTATGGACATTATACAGTACTATTTTCTTACATTTGTTCTTTTAAAAAAAGAAGGTGTATGTAGCACTGACTGTAGTGTGCAATAGTGACAATGGGAGGCTGTCCGCTGTCTGGTCATTCTTTTTGAGTGGTGGCGCCTGCCTCGGCTCCTGCAACCTGGTGCCTGGCTAAATTTGACATTTGTATCAACACAATTGTTTACAGACAATGGTAGTTATTAATAATATTAGCTCCGGGCCAGTCCCCAGCCCCCGGCCCACCTGTCACTGACAGGCTGTCACATTTTTGTCATTTCCTGTATCACTATGTAAAGTCTATAAACCAGTTAAAAACAAATCACGGTTTGTTGTTCCACCAATAATCAGCGAGAAAAATAGCAAGTATGTAAGTACTCTCACATGCAATGTCTAAAAATCAGTGATTTAGGAAGCACTGAAGCGAGCCTAGACCGAGGGAGGAGTTTCGGCTTTCTACAATAAAATGTGTTGTAATGGATTGAGGTGTCGTTTATTAAATAGACATGTGGGAAATATTGGTAGGGAGGCGCTACAGATTATCGCAAAGATATTTTAAAACTTGTTGACATTTGTATCCAGCCATATTTCAAAATGCCTTTTTGTGTTGTCATGTGCCCCCTTTTTTGGTGGAGATGCGTGATTTAAAAAATACGACAACACGACGACGCCCGACGGACAGCAACAAAAAGTCAAAAATGCAGAGTTCTCTCGCGTTGGCATTTTTCTCTGGCAGGAGGAGGTAGTCTTCAATCCAATTTCGACGTTGTAATTTTGAAACAACAGTACAAAACGTCGCAACTTTTCGTCATTCAATTCATTAGGTGTTACGTGCAATTTGTACTAGTAGCACAATCCAGAAACTTTGAATTCACCCAAATCTATTTAAATATGTCTGATTTCGAGTTTCTGTTTACCTCTGAATCCGTCGGTGAGGGTCACCCCGACAAAATCTGTGATCAGGTATCTGACGCTGTTCTAGACGCGTGTCTGGCCGAGGACCCTCAGTCGAAGGTAGCCTGCGAAAGTGCGTCAAAGACCGGTATGATCATGGTCTTCGGCGAGATCACAACTAAGGCTGTGCTTGACTATCAGCAAATCATCCGTGGTGCCATTAAGAAGATTGGTTACAACGATTCCTCTCTAGGTTTCGATTACAAGACGTGCAACGTCATGATTGCGATTGAGCAGCAGTCTCCAGATATTGCACAAGGTGTTCACGAAGAACGTGATGATCTTGACGTAGGCGCTGGTGATCAGGGAATCATGTTTGGTTATGCGACCGATGAAACTCCGGAGTATATGCCTCTTACTTGCCAGCTGTCGCATCAGCTTAATGCCAAGCTTGCCGAGCTTCGTCGTTCAACGTATGTTCCATCCACTGTTTTTTTACGTTCCGCACTGCACACAGTCCATTTCTCTGCCCTATCTCGTTTCCTTATTTCATTCACTGTCTCGATCATTAACAAATACCACTTTCTATCGCAATTCAATAGCCATCCTTGGATTGGACCCGACACCAAGACTCAGGTCACTGTGGAGTACAAGAAGTCCGGTGGATCTCTTGCTCCCGTCCGTGTGCACACAGTTGTAATTTCTGCACAGCACACTGATGACATCAAGCAGGATGCTATCGTTAAGGCTCTAGAGGAAGATGTTGTCAAAGCCGTCATTCCCGAGCGCTACCTTGATGCCAATACTGTACTTCACTTGAATCCAAGTGGACGATTCGTTATCGGCGGACCTCAAGGTGATGCCGGACTAACAGGCCGTAAGATCATTGTAGACACTTACGGAGGTTGGGGAGCTCATGGAGGAGGTGCCTTCTCCGGCAAGGATCCAACCAAGGTTGATCGATCAGCCGCCTATGCTGCTCGTTGGGTTGCCAAGTCACTTGTTGCAGCCAAGTTGGCAAACAGATGCCTTGTGCAGCTTTCATACGCCATTGGTGTAGCTAAGCCCCTATCTGTGTTCGTAGACACTTATGGAACTGGAACCAAAACTGATGGTGACATTGTCAAGATCATCGAGCAGAACTTTGATCTTCGCCCTGGAGCTTTGATCCGTGATCTGGATCTATTGAAGCCGATATATCAAGACACAGCATGCTACGGACATTTCGGCCGCAATGAGTTCAGCTGGGAGAAGCCCAGAATCCTCAACTTTTAATTACAAGATTTTCAAATAACCAATATTGGACAGCTTACGTTGAGTTTGTCCCGTGACGGTTCAACATTATAATGCTTTTAAGAGGTGGTTGATTTCACCTCACCTAACGATTATTAGGTGTAAAGAAGGCAAGAGATAATACAATAGCACTGGAGTCAGTTCTGGATAGCTCTTAACATTAACTGTAAACAGGATAAGTATTTAAATATAAAAAGGCATCCTTGAGCATGTTTGAACATGTAGTTGTTTGAATATACTGACAATTGTCTTCATTCAGAATGTATATAAGTTATCATAGGCCCGAAATATGTATTTTTGAATGCATTTGTATTCTCAAGGATGGTTGCTATCGATTGGAAAACTACCCTGTTGTTTCCGGGAATCCTAAATACTTAAGCGCGGGACGGTACGTCGTCACCAAAGACCGAAGTGGGGGACGGTGCATTTGCGCGCGGGACGGTGCATCACACTAAAGACTGACTGATGTGGGGGACGGTACCTGTGGATTTGAGATAGAACGGTGAGTGCGATTTCGAAGCACAACTATATACCATTCGAAACTAAGATTCAGAATCGTAAATCGCTGTGAACGTATTCGAGTGCCTACGTTTATATCAACACAAACACTCCCTTATCGACTCACACACGGTACACACATAAAACGCATATACGTGTACATGTATGTT